AAAGAAAGTTTGGATCCTCTTGAAGCTGTTGCTGAAGTTCCCTGCAGACTTCCAAGCAATGCTGCTTCTGTTCATTTTGCAGCAGTCATGGCACAAACTTCGCCGCAATCCTCCTCATGTTCAGTTCCTCTGACAAAATTCGTTGACATGTATCATAACTTAGTCCCAAGTTGTTACAGAGGTCATGGATGGTCAGTCTACGATCTTGCAGAATCAGATCCCTAACTTTCGTGACATTTTCTGGTGTTCTGCCCGTTGACGGCCATCCCAAACGATCGTCATCATCGGTCGATGTTCGGCCATTTTTAAAATGCTTATACCAGTTGTAAGTTTGTGTCTGGCCTAAACTGTTTTCACCAAAAGCTTGCTTCAACATTTGGTGCGCTTCTGCAGCGGTTTTCCCAAGTTTGAAACAAAACTTTATACAGACACGCTGCTCTCTCAGGTCAGTCATCGCAAAACCGCAAACTCACGGAAACACAACAATGGAAATACGTTCACCAACAATAAACTCAACCACTCAACTCGACGCCGCTTACCACACTGATTCAAGAAGGATGTGTGAGGAGACACCTAGCAGTTTTTCGATGTACTCATAACCATTAGCGCGCAAAATTCAAATTTCGGTAACTTTTGGATTGCCCCACGTATATTTCTCAAATACCACCTGACAATAGTCTGTATGGGCCAAAACAGGTTGTAAGTAAAATAATAACACCTGTTTGTGTGACAGTAACTTCTTCATTTCTATTCAGATCTTATTTTAATATCCGTTTACAATTCATTATTATAAATATATGCCATGTACCATACCATATACAACTACATGTACAGGTATAATCTTAAGTAACAACAGTGAACAAGGTAATATTGACATGTAGTTATTTATTTCTACCATGACACAGTACAGGATTGTAATACTAAACTGGTTAATATGAACATGAGGCACAGATATAAGGCATATATGACCAGAAAATCTGTGAGGAACTGAATAAGAAAGAGAGCATTATGCAGTTTTTATGGACATACTAATACATTTACTAGATCAGTATAGACAATTCACAGTAATTACTGATCATTATCCAACAGATGCTGAGTACAAAGAATGCTGCTTATACCTATAAACTAAATTTATACCATGAAACAAGACACAGATCACTCTTGTCTGCATTTTTCTTCAAACTAATAAACTTTAAACTGCTCATACTCTTTGCTTTCAAAGAAGAAGCTGTCAACAAAGTACAGTTTATTCACTGTATTGAGTCAATTCACCAAGCAGTGCAGGATCAGGTGTTTAATCTCTCTCCACTATCCTGTCGAAGAAAAATAATGAATTTTTATCTAGGAATGCTCTGGGGATTGCAAAATACACTCCTTTCTTTATCTGTTATTCAATGATGCTCTCAGTAGCTCAGACAGACAGCATGAAGATGCTGGCATTTGCCAGGAAGCACAAAACCATGAAAAGACTCGGTCAGTATAGCAGATGTCCCCGCCAAGATACGAGACAGGCACCTCCCAAATACACATCAAAAGTATTACCATCTGAGCCAGTTTGCTCCATATTTTACCACTGTGGCTAAGCAATAAAAACATTCTTCTTATCATGTGTGCATGTTATAAGAATTCTTTCAACATTTAACAAATACAGCAAAGTAAAATTGTCTGCCTTACTTAAGCATATACACAGTGTGTCCAGGTTCTGATAGGACTGTGTTCATTAAAAATACAAGACGTGAATTATTTTCAAAATTTCACTCATTTTATTCAAAATAGTCTCCTTCTGAATCAATACATAGCTGGAATTGATTGAAAAGTTTTCGAAAACAGTCACTGTACTACTTTTGTGGAATCACATTTAAAACTGCAGTACATTCCCTTTGGATGTCCTGGATGGTGTTGTGATGGTCTCCTTTCATCGCCAACTTAACCTTTGGGAACAACCAGAAATCTGCTGGAGCTAAATCTGGCAAATACGGAGGATGATCAAGGACTGTGATCCATTTTGTGGCCAAAAAATCGTGCAGGATCTTTGATTTGTGGGGTGGGGCATGGTCATGGAGGAGTGAGCAGGAATCTTTCTCTCGATATTCAGGTCGAATTCGAAGAATTCTAGCCCACAAACGATTACGGACTCCAAGATAATAATCAGAATTCACTGTTTGACTTTCTGGCAGAAATTCCTTGTGAATGATTCATTTGGAATTGAAGAAAGCGGTTAGCAGTGTCTTTACTCAACTCTTTTACAAGTGCACTTTCTTTGGTTTCGGCTCTTTGAGCTCAACCATGCTGCACTCTGCCACTTTGTGAGAGGCTCATATTGAAAACACCATGTCTCGTCACCAGTAACAATTGACTTTGTAAATTTTGTACCACTTTGGGCCGACTATAACATGTTTTTGCAGTGTACCACTCTGGCATTTTTTCATCGCCCAACAGGGCATAACCACGCACAGACCTTCGTTTGCCCAAATCTTCGGTCAAAATTTGATGCACACTACTTTTTAGTATTCCCAAAAGCTCCTCAATGAGTCTTGCAGAATCACGTCTGTCAGATACAAGGATTTCAGTCACGTCTTTTCACATTTTCTTTAATGTAACTTGTTCTCGGCTTTGTTGCACATGGAGTGTCTTCAATGTCCTCCCTGCCATCATGAAATATAGCATACCATCGAAAAATATTCGGGCGACTCAAACAATCACTACCGTACACACTTTTCATCATTTCGTATGCTTCTCCTGCTGTTTTGCCTAACTTCAAACAAAATTTGATGTTGGCTCTCTGTTCAACCGCCATTTTCCAATGAGCATCAGAACAGTACTATTATATTCAAGGTCAGAAAACATGATGCAGCGATGCTTGCACTTTGAAATTATAGACAGCCACAGCTGAAACTTCAAGAATCTTAATGCCACAACTTGCCAACAGATGGCATTGCAGGACAAAATCTAAAAAAATGAGTCCTAATGGATCCTGGAAACATCGTGTATTTCTATATAGCATGTTTTGTCGCCTGGGGTTGCATCATATCTGAAAAGTGCCACCAAGTGCTCAAGAATTAGTTATTTAATATATAGTTGCATTCATACAGTTTTGTTAAGTCAGTACAATTTAATACATGTGCTTTATAAAAATGTAGCTCCAGCCAGGAAAACAATTTTACATTTGTTTCATGATTGTACAGGAAAATTTTATGGCTTGCTGTAAGTGAAGAGGTTGTAAAGTTATTTAGGTTGTTGCTGTCACTATACAGAATAACGGGGACTTGCAGCAATCTTCAGAACTGCACTTCCATTTACCAGCATGTAAATTTATACATTATTCTACAAAGTCACAGTGTCACAAAGTCTGATAACATCTGCTCTAAGATATTTAACATATAACAATAATAACAACATATCCAACAGACATATTTATAAAAGTATAAAAGATTATTAATAATGTCCAGGGTGAATGATAAATGCTTTTTTTTTAATCTTTCATCCTTTACAAGTTCCAGGCAGCGGGACCATCTTCAGGACATTATCAATACATACAGAAACTACTATTACAATGTCATAGGTTATTATCTATACGTACAGAAACTACTGTTACAAAGTCGTGGATGTAAAACATTAGCCTTTAACAATTACTAAGATATGCACGAATTTGTTAAAACATTTATAAATTAATATAATTAGTCTATTTACAAAGTATTGTTTAAAAATCTTTTTGTTAAAATCTAAAACCAATTTGGTTCCTGTCCTTTATACTGCTTCTCTTTAAAGGAAAATGAATGTATGCTGCATCATGGTTCCATTGTTTGATGTCTCGTTGTCCATTTGTTCGGGCCATGCTATGTTGTTATATCTATGATATTTTAACAGTAGTTTCTGTAAGTATTGATAATGACCTATGACACTGCAATCGTAGTTTCCGTATGTATTGATAATGTCCATCTGAAGATGGTCACTCGAACCAAAACATGTAAAGGATGTAAGATTAAAAAAACACCCTGGACACACTGGACACATTAATAATCTTTTATACTGTTACTAGTGTAACGGACAAGGATGAACTGACAGGCATATTTACACACGAACATTATTGTAAAAAATATAGGCACCATTTTCTTCATGAAAGTAGGCTGACAGTTATGGAAGACAAAATGTTTCAGAACTGGTTATGGTCCACAAAAAATTGCCTTAAGAAAATTTACATATTCTCCGCATAATGAATACCACACAAACGATACAGTAAGTGGCTCTAGTGACATCTGCACTTCAGATGCCTCCAAGTGACAACTGCTACTTAAATCTAACATTTTGATTCT